ACTTGTTGGGTCTTTCCCAAAAAGACTCATGGCTGTATTAGATCAAAAGGGTGCTTCTACTAAATACTGAGCAAAGGGTCTGAATACTTAGGACCATGTGATATTTCAGTTTTTCTTTTTTAATAAATCTGCAAAAATGTCAACAATTCTGTGTTTTTCTGTCAATATGGGGTGCTGTGTGTACATTAATGAGGAAAAAAACTTAACTTGAATGATTTTAGCAAATGGCTGCAATATTGTTAAGAGTGAAAATTTTAAGGGGGTCTGAATACTTTCCGTACCCACTGTATGTGGAAATGTGGGTGGACTAGAACCAACTTGATCTATTTTCTACTTTCTTCAATTTCTTGAAGTGTATTTTGAAAATATTTCTAGTGATATTACATTATTATAAGAATTGTAATTTTGCGAGACACACACACACACACACACACACAAACACACACACACACGGTCCATAAAATAACAAAATATATTATATATATCAATAAAATACATTTATATTTATATTAAATATATACGATATATAAATACAAAAATATATATATATATTAACATATATACAAATAAAATATTAATTAATTTCAACTCATTTAATAATTTATAAATAAATATTGAGGTGGATGATAGTGTGTGCCTTTGAGGAACTGATACAAATTGGCTTTCTAGAAGACGGCTGTAAATACACACACCAACTGACCACATCTTGACACGGACAGAGTGTGTAATCTATACATACATCAATATAAACCACACTGATCTATAGGATAAACCATAAGCATGCATTTTTAATGACGACGCTTTGTTTAGCCGTGATGCTGGAGGATGAGATGCTTTATCAATTGCGGGGACATGCTGACGTGTTGGGGGAAGGGTTGGGAAAATGGAAGTGTTTGGTGTATGAAGAAATGAGATATCCAAACGGATGACAATAATCACTTGTTTTGCTGCTCAGTCGAAGTGTAGCTGTAGTTTAAACGGTTGGGCAGCCTCAACGTGCAACAATATAAATGTGTCAACTAGTAGAGATCCTGCTGTGGTGTTTACATGCAGCAGACAGCACAGCATGCAGATTCATTTTTTGTGTATTCATTTATTATGAATAATCAGATTTTTGGTAAAAAAAAAAAAAAAAGAAGAAGAAAAAAATATTTCAGTTTTAAGTTTTTTATGTATAGAAGCTCGTTTCTGCTACAGGATGAAAAATAAAAAATGGATGAAAAAATATTGCAACTTTTTATCTCACAATTCGGATAATTTTTTTCTTACAATTCTGAGTTTATATCTAACAATTTGGCCTTTTTTCTTGCAATTCTGAGGGAAGAAAAGAATTGTAAGACATAAACTCAAAATTGTGAGATATAAACTCACAATTTCGGAAGAAAAATCAGAACTGCAAGATATAAATTCAAAATTTGGATTTCTTTCGCAATTCAGCATTTACATCTTACAATTTTGAGTTTTTCTTACCGCCACATAATAAATAAATAAATAAGGTAATCTCACAATTTTTATGTGCAAGAAAAGTCTGCATTATGAGATAAAATGTCACAATTAGCGTTTTTATTTATTTATATATTTTTATCTCATGGTGGAAGGAAGCTTCAACAAGGCTGCATTTATTTAATAAAATATCCAGTAAAATCTGTAATATGGCCATACTTTACTTTTTAAAATAGCTCTTTTCTATTTGAATATATTTTAAAATGTAATTTATTCCTGTGATGCAAAGCTGAATTTTCAGCATCATTATTCCAGTCTTCAGTGTCACACGATCCTTCAGAAAAAATATGCTTCTAATATACTAATTTGCTGCTCAAGAAATATTTTTGATTGTTAGCAATGTTGAAAACATTCGTGCTGCTTCATATTTTTGTGGAAACTGTGATACATTTGTTTTCAGAATTCTTTGATGAATGGAAAGTTCAAAAGAACAGCATTTATTTTAATTCAATTATATGAAATACATTTCCAGCCAAAAATATGAATAAAATGATATATATATATATATATATATATATATATATATATATATATACACACAGTATCATAACCATGACAGAAAATGTACGCCCACTCGTAGCCGAGGCTCATTATTGCTGTTTTGTTTGTGTGCTCAAGTCGAACTAGATATGAATCACGAAAATCACATTGAACAACAAGAACGCTGGGAACAAATCATAATTAACATGACAAATACTCATGTCAGGTTAATATCCTCTGAATTGTTTGCTTATGATTAGCAAAAGCTGAGTTTCTGTGCAAGAGCCAGGCACTTGCTGTGTGCAGTTGTACGGCGATCCACCAGAAGGCAGTGCAAACCACCAACCGCTCCTCAATCACAACACACCCACTCACTCAAGGTGTTTTCAAACTACAGCATGTTTTTACATCAGTCTGAACAACCAAATGAACATCATCATTGTGCACAAACCCCTCTCATGGTCACTATAAAAGCCTTTGGATTGAAGCGTGACACAGCAGAATTGCACCGCAGTAACGTGGTTGAAATGAAGTGGATTTGTGGCCTGTTCTTTGTTTACATTGAGAAGGTTTCTGAAATACCCTTCAGTGCTCGACTGCTCGTGCTTTGGTTCTTGAGCAGTGCATGCTGCAACATTACAGCCTCCAATCCTCTCTCTCGCCTTTATTTGTGTCTTCTATTCCAGTGCCAGGCCTTTAAGACATCAAAGCAGAGCCAGAGAGTGCTGGAGCCGGGCATTATGGGACATAGAGTGTCAAATAATCCTTACCAGTGCATCACGTCACGTCACGTCAACTTATAAACAAATCAACACTTTCTCACACAATATGACACACAATATGAGCATTTAAACATATTTGTCCAGATTGTAAATTAAATAATAGATTTTTAATACGTCTAAACCTTTTGATATCTGACATTTGCTTTTACTTTAATATATATAATTTTTATAATTTTTATGTATTGTTATTGATATTTTTGAACTCATCATCAAATTAGGTAATATTAGGCCTTATTTGCAAACCAGCAGACCTATTTTTTTTCAAGATGCAGGATTGTGTATATCCACGATACTGAAATAACACTGAATTCCCGTTACACTGCCCCTGAAAATGCAATGCAAACTCACGCTATGTATTGCATAGCACTATAATGCATTACACTGTGCGTTGCATTCTGGCACATTATGCAATGTAACAATGTGTGAAATCAAACTTGCATAGCTGTAAGTGTTTCATGCACTTAGCTATTTGTGTGCACAATTCAAGTTGTGTGTGCGATTATACATGTGTGGTTGTATTTACTGTGTACGGGGACACAGAACAGGTGGATGATGGGATACCTGGGGGTTTTCCTTCTGTTGGTTCCATGTTTAGATGTCACAGAAGGAATTGCACACAGATAGCACAGTATGTTCACACACGCGCGGGATAATAAGAGGCGAGCTGCTAACATGGCGAGGAGGCGCACGCGGTTCTGGCGAAGGATCATATGGATTATAAAATCAAAGCTGTAGTTTGAAATGTCACACACACACATATGCACACACTTCAGCGCAGTGTAATTAAAACTGAGCGCCTGCAGGGTATATGCTATATATGGAGCACGGCGCTCCGTTTGACACGTGATACGGATCCTCAAACTTCCCACTTCTGTGAGACTCCGTGAGCTGAAAAGTATTTAAAATAGCGGCTAACTTCCACACTATCAGATCACAGGCTTAATCTGTATCTAATGCCGTTATCGTTTCAAGTAATACGCTTATGAATATGCACAGAAATCCATGTGCTTTGAATACATTATCCATTCCATAAATGAAGTGCGATTCATCTAAAGAAGATGAATTACTCAAAGACGCATTTGGCTTTTCTTGGATGATGAAGCTAATAAAAATATATGGATTATAAAATCAAAGCTGTAGTTTGAAATGTCACACACACACATATGCACACACTTCAGCGCAGTGTAATTAAAACTGAGCGCCTGCAGGGTATATGCTATATATGGAGCACGGCGCTCCGTTTGACACGTGATACGGATCCTCAAACTTCCCACTTCAACTTCCCAAACTTCCCACCACATCTTGATGATTGAGCCTTTTGATAATATTTGATATATATCTCTATATTTATGTATTTTCTCTGAAACGGCTTAAAAGGAACCATCATTTCACCCAAACAGTCGTGGATGCCAAGTCGATTTAAAGGATTAAAAGAGTAAAAATCTAATTAAAAATAATCTGTTTTTCACTAAATGACATAGGAAGCATGATATTGAATTATTTTCATTTAAATGCACCTAAATAATCACACAAATCATGCATTTAAAGACTTTTTACATGTTACACGCATACTTTAGTGAATATGTTTCAATGATTGATGCCAACAATTGATTGAATCAGTTTTGAACTAGTTGATTAATGCAAGAAATGAAACAGCAAAAATTGATTTAAAATGATGTTTTTCATTATCTGACACAAGAAAGAATGACATTTAATCATGTCATTTATATGCTACTTTTTAAAATGCTACATCCAAACTTTAGTTGATATTTTATTGTATCAGAGTTTTTAACTGATTCCTAGAAAAGAATCAAACGTACCAACTCTAATGCCATGTTTACTAAAGTTTAAATAAGAACAGCTATTAAAATCTCATAGTTGTAAGGCACATGTATGAAAAACAAAACTGGCCTTTTGACACCTTAGTCTTTAGGAAACGTAATGGCCAAATAAATGGCGCAAGCTGCTTATTTTTATACTTATATTCAAATGTACTCTGAATATTTAATATTTCACTCAGCTCTACTGCAAACACATGAACTCAAAACCACAGGTTACAAAAGTGTCCTTTATAATCAAAACCAAATACTCAAAATGCAAATAAAGCATAAAAACAGCACGCTAGATCAATTCGATTCATGTTACTTAGTCCGATGGGATCAAGAGTTCAAATTGCACAGGAACTCTTGGGTTTTTCTGCAAGTATTCATGGGTCGGGAATTGAAATTATGTTAATGCATTATTCAGCAGCGTAGTGAGAGCTAAAAGTGGCTTCAGACAAGGACAGTGGTCATTAATCGGAGGCTTTTAGACTCGGTACAGCACAAATGCACAGGACAATGTGTGTTTGATTCTTTAGGCCCTTTAGACACATGCAATGCATGTTGTGTGTGCTCACCGCGTGTGTGTAAGTACTGTAGGTGCTGCTGTAGGTGCTGAACGGCAGGGCCACGGTGGGGTTGAAGATGCCAAACTGGCCGACCATCTGTTGCATGCGGCGTATGGTCCTCTCTTTATCAGTGTCAGCGAACTTTACCACCAAACTCGACGAAGCTCCCTGCGAGAGACACATGGACAGTTGTACTGTTACACTGCAACATGCACATATACATGAATGAAAATCATCATATTTTATGCTGTTCATTTTGTAGCAAATGTTCGTGTCTTGCACCAAAACACAACTCAGTTTCCAAATTGAAGTCGTTATTCGCTGACCATGCATGTAAGCTGTGATCTGCTGCAAGGAAAGTTAGGATTTATGTCAAGATTTGCAGTAAAAATCTTACATTTGGACCAAAATGTGGTTCCTCACTACAGTAAAGCTGTGGTAAGACTTAGAAAGATGATAAATATAGCCACAAGTTGTATGGAGTGCTTTATGGTGCTTTTGTGTTCATGTTAGTTTATTATTGTTAACTAAAACCAAAACTACACTGAAAAAATTGTGTAGAAACAAAAAACAAAAGAAACAACAAACACAATTTTGAATCAAATTAGATATTTTTTTAAGTAAAAAAGACTTAAATAGTATTTTCTTGTAAAATTTATTTGTAAAATGTACTCTTTTTCTCTTCAATCTTTATAGTACAGTATATTAGAAACATGTTTGTTAACTGAAATCAAGCTGAAATAAACTATAATTATTAGATAAATCACTTAACTAATATTTGAATAAATAAGTTTAGGCTGAAGCACTAAAATTAGCTGAAAAAAAACAAACACTAAAACTAATAAATAAATAAAATAAATAAATAAAAATAAGTTAACCAAAATAGTGATATAAAAAAACGAATAAAAAAAAACACATAACAAAATGACTAAAAATTAATCTAAAATAAAACTGAAAATAGAAAAAAAAATGTATTCAAAATATTATATAAATATAACACAAATTTTCAGGCTGTTCTTCACATAAAGCTCTTGCATAACAAAAAAAAAAAAAGGAATATAGCTAAACAAATTGTATGGAGTACTTTTAAAGTGCTTTTATGTCATTATTATTGTTAACTAAAATTAAAATGATGAGAAACTGAGATAAATGTGTTAACTTAAATGAAGCTGAAATGAAATAAACTACTGTATATTAGATGAAAAACTAAACTATTTTAACTAAACGAAAATAATAGCAATAAGAAAATAATGGCAAATAATAGCAATAAGATCAAAAATAATAAATAGAAACTAAAATTAATATGGCAATAGAAATAAATGAACCCTTAGTAATATTTAAAGAAAAGAATAAAAATTACAAATGCACTTAACAAAAAAAATCAAACTAAAATTAAATATATACTAAAAATATAAAAAGATAATTCGAAATATTAATATAAACTATAGGCAATTAGTATATAAATAATAACAAAATAACACTTGTCCCTTTTGAAATTTCAAAACATCGGTCCTCTTTTATTGTAACTGCATGCAAAAGAGCAACCACCAGAAGAGGTAATCATACAACTGTTTTTGCAGTGTATAGCAAAATCTCCATCTTTGTCACCAGTTATTTTTCCAACCCCGCCGTCTTTCTCTGTCTTGGTGCTAATAAAAAGCGCAGTGCAACATCTCACAAAGATGGGGACTCATTAAAAGGCTCTTGATGATTTACTGCACCACTTGACCTTTCGTGTGCTGGGCCTCTCTGACCCGCTAAACCAGCACGAGATCGATCGCCCTAAAGGCCACAATATTCCCCTCATCTCAGAGACTCTGAAGATCTGGACCTCTGGGGATTCGATCAAAAGCCTACACAGTACTTCAATGCAGATTATGGGTGAAAGTGAGCATCATACTGAGGGGCCGAGCACTTGAAGTGAGCCCTCAGAAGTATGTGTGCATCCTACACAAAGACATACGTCACTGCCACTTTGGTCTAAATTAGCATTGATGTTGAAGTAGCAAAAAACATGAGCGTCATATCTAGTATTTTTATGTAAAGGTCTAAAAAGCGAGACTGCCAGAAACGGTTTGAGATCTGACATCAATGTGACAAACAAGCTGTAAAGAAATGCTGAAATATATTAATGCATTAAAATTGGTATGGTGGAAAGTGTCGCTCTGTAGGACTCAAACAAACTGTAAGGCTGAGCTGTTAATGAGGCCTTTGCTAACTCAACGCATGGCTCTGAATGTGTAGTTGAGGAACTATTAAAATGTCCCTGAAACTCAGTACAGCTAAACGCTCTCTCGCTGGCTCTGTTCCAAAACCTAGTGAGCTGTCTACATAGTCAGCAGCCTTCACACGCAGTATGTAAACTAATATGGAACCAGTTTCTAATGCACTGCTTTAGCAGCAAATGCACCAAACTAAATCGTTATGGGCTTGATAAGATTTTTTCATGTATGAAGGCATCATTTAATTGATCAAATATATTGTAATATGGTGAAATATTGTTTGGTATTTGTATACATCATAAAATGTAATTTATTTCTGTGATGCGCAGCTGAATTTTCAGCATCATCACTCCAGTCTTCAGTGTCACATGATCCTTCAGAAATCATTCTAATATGCAGATTTGCTGCTCAAGAAACATTTCTGATTATTATCAATGTTGAAAACAGTTGTGCTTCCTAATGTTTTTTTTGAAAACCATGATACAATTTTCTTCAGGATTCTCTGATGAATAGAAAGTTCAGAAGAACAGCATTTATTTGAAATCGAAACCTAACATTATGAATGTCTTTACTGTCATTTTTGATACATTTAATGCACCCTTGCTGAATACAAAAAATACAACTTTTGACTGGTAGTCTCTGTGATTCATTTTTAATTTGAACATTGCGTATTAAAAGAAAGAATTAATAAAAGTGAAGACTGAACTTAATGGTGCTGCTGCTCTGAGCAGTTCGTGATCAGAATCTCCTCATTGATTTCATTCTCTTTTTAAGTCGGATGGGACGCCAACCACCAGCTGTTATCTTACCCAGAAATTTGGCAAAAGGTCTAAATCCATAATGAAGGTGCACCAGGCAGTGACATTACAAAGATATCCAATAGGTCACAATAAATGAGAAGAAGCTTTGTGAAAACAATACACCGTAATCACAGACATTGCTATCCAGACGATTACATTTCTCATGGTAAGTCATTTGCTCTGTAATTTTGTGCAGGAAAATTACAGACTTGTTTGATTCAGGCAGAATTAAAGTCACAAAGCAAGTCTGTAAAACACACATTTACCTGACCTCCTCGGAGAAACTAATCTCATTCACCCAAAAATGAAAATTTGCAGAAAATGTACTTACCCTCAGGCCATCCAAGATGTAGATGACTTTGTTTCTTCATCAGATTTGGAGAAATGTAGCATTACATCACTTGCTCACCAGTGGATGCTTTGCAGTGAATGGGTGCCGTCAGAATGAGAGTCCAAACAGCTGATAAAAACATCACAATAATCCACAAGTAATCCACACCACTCCAGTCCATCAGTTAACATCTTGTAAAGCAAAAAGCTATGTGTTTGTAAGAAACAAATCAATCTAAATTGAAATCCATCAATTTGGATTAATAATCTATAATAACCGGGGGTGCACATACGTTTTTCAGTCTGGTTCTCATAAGAGATTGGACTTGATTAGAAAAGCCACACACCTGTCTATATAAGACCTTATCGGTATGCAAAGTGTGTGTGAGGGTGAGATATGGCCTTGAACGTTCATTTGAGGATAATTACTCTCAAGGTTGAGCTGATCTCCAAACACACATTTACAGTGGTTCATCAGAGGCATTTCTCCACCTGTCTTTCGTCTCTGTCACAGTTAGACGCTGTCTGAGTGTTTTTTCCCTCAGTTTGATCATCTGTAATCCTCCCTCTCCTTCTCTTTTTCTCTACTTCTTGTCCTGCTCTCAGGGGATGGAGAAATACACCTCTTTATCTGTCCTTTCAATGTGTGGCAGAGGAATTATTCATTCTGAACCTCAGAGTGAGAGAGAGAGGTGGGAAAACATGCAGAAGGAGTGTGATAAAGAGAGTGAGAGCTGTAGAATAGAGAGGGAATGTTCAGAATAGCATACTAACATACTGCTTGTATGCTATATTGCAGTGTGCAGTATGTATACAGTGAATTTTCTGTGTAAGGAATACCCAGATGGTGCGTGAGGAATCTGCATCTGATTTTGACAGAAAAGCTGTGGAATTCTGCAAAATAGACTTAAATTCTGAGAAAATTCTGTCTTTATTCATCCAACCTCATGACATTTCAAACATGTATGACTTGTTCTGTGAAGGATAAAAGATGAGTTATAATAGTGGATCTTTTGCATGCAATTAGACCCCGACTGTGACTAAAGTGCTTCAAAAAAAAAAATCACATGATGACACCATAAAAGTGGCTATAATCCACGTTTATGGAAATCATACAATAGGTTTGCTGTTTGTGAGAAACAGGCTAAAATCGAATTTTGTGATCAACTTTTATGATATGTTTTAAGATGTTTATACTGTATATAGTTTGTTATTTTGATAAATGTTAAAAATACTTCACTTTGATTAGCTACTTTTCATTAGCAGATTGTAACTATATACTTCGTAAAAAAAGACATGAATGATGTTTAATAACTTTAAATATTAAAATTATTATAATGCAGTCCATCTAGTTAAGATTATCATCTTTGTGCAAGTTAAATATTAATTTACATTTTTTTTGCAGATTTTTAGAGAAGATTTAAGATGATTGAATTTAAGTTGAAATAAAGCCATTGTAAGATGGTTTGAATATATTTTTATTCGTTTTTTTATATATTAAAAATAATAGCGTAACTAACTTCTAGTTTAACTGTTAAATTAATATTATGCTTGCATATAAATTTATATTTATATGCTTGCAGTAAGCTAGTACTCCATTCAGAAGAGAAGGTAAGATGAAACAGAGAGACTAACAGCAACTCATTTGCACTTATATTGGCACTGAAGCTGTTTGAGCTCAACACATGACAGCAGCTCTGTCTTCAACATCCGCAGTTCATGTGTGCGCTTGCTGTTACATGAACATGAGTTCACAAATGATATTGTGTCAATTAACTTGTTCAACATTTTAGGTCAAAATGCATATGAATGTATAGGTAAAAGTGAACATTATAGGTCATTTACCTTTTAAATGAATGTTTTAAAGTACCCCATACCTCAATTAATACAATTTTATAAAAGCTGCATGTATAATAGTGTGTGGTTGTACTCACAGGCATGGTCTGACTCCCGTGCAGCCCGCTGATGGCAGATTGAGCCTCGGTGTGTGTTGAAAACTTGACAAAGGCGCAACCTGCAAAACACACACACACACACAAAAGAAGAGCAGAGAAATAATGAGGAAGACCGGTGGAGGTTATCAGCAGAGGAGTGTGTGTCTCTGGTGAATGCAACACTGGAGATGAGAGAGAAAATGTGCACATGCACACAAACAAAACACTCATTTCACTTTCTTAGAGCACCATATTATCCATATATGCACTATGCATGATTTATGTTATGACTTTTTCTAATCCCATAAAGCTTACTGTACTGTATTTGATATGCAAATTTCTAAGGCTCGACATGATCAAAACTTTGCTGAAAAACCTATTGTACACAATCTACTCCATGCCTTCTGCCGTCTGATTGATAGTTTAGACTTTTTAGCAAGAGTGGTTCATCAGAGGCATTTCTCCACCTGTCTTTCGTCTCTGTCACAGTTAGACGCTGTCTGAGTGTTTTTTCCCTCAGTTTGATCATCTGTAATCCTCCCTCTCCTTCTCTTTTTCTCTACTTCTTGTCCTGCTCTCAGGGGATGGAGAAATACACCTCTTTATCTGTCCTTTCAATGTGTGGCAGAGGAATTATTCATTCTGAACCTCAGAGTGAGAGAGAGAGGTGGGAAAACATGCAGAAGGAGTGTGATAAAGAGAGTGAGAGCTGTAGAATAGAGAGGGAATGTTCAGAATAGCATACTAACATACTGCTTGTATGCTATATTGCAGTGTGCAGTATGTATACAGTGAATTTTCTGTGTAAGGAATACCCAGATGGTGCGTGAGGAATCTGCATCTGATTTTGACAGAAAAGCTGTGGAATTCTGCAAAATAGACTTAAATTCTGAGAAAATTCTGTCTTTATTCATCCAACCTCATGACATTTCAAACATGTATGACTTGTTCTGTGAAGGATAAAAGATGAGTTATAATAGTGGATCTTTTGCATGCAATTAGACCCCGACTGTGACTAAAGTGCTTCAAAAAAAAAATCACATGATGACACCATAAAAGTGGCTATAATCCACATTTATGGAAATCATACAATAGGTTTGCTGTTTGTGAGAAACAGGCTAAAATCGAATTTTGTGATCAACTTTTATGATATGTTTTAAGATGTTTATACTGTATATAGTTTGTTATTTTGATAAATGTTAAAAATACTTCACTTTGATTAGCTACTTTTCATTAGCAGATTGTAACTATATACTTCGTAAAAAAAGACATGAATGATGTTTAATAACTTTAAATATTAAAATTATTATAATGCAGTCCATCTAGTTAAGATTATCATCTTTGTGCAAGTTAAATATTAATTTACATTTTTTTTGCAGATTTTTAGAGAAGATTTAAGATGATTGAATTTAAGTTGAAATAAAGCCATTGTAAGATGGTTTGAATATATTTTTATTCGTTTTTTTATATATTAAAAATAATAGCGTAACTAACTTCTAGTTTAACTGTTAAATTAATATTATGCTTGCATATAAATTTATATTTATATGCTTGCAGTAAGCTAGTACTCCATTCAGAAGAGAAGGTAAGATGAAACAGAGAGACTAACAGCAACTCATTTGCACTTATATTGGCACTGAAGCTGTTTGAGCTCAACACATGACAGCAGCTCTGTCTTCAACATCCGCAGTTCATGTGTGCGCTTGCTGTTACATGAACATGAGTTCACAAATGATATTGTGTCAATTAACTTGTTCAACATTTTAGGTCAAAATGCATATGAATGTATAGGTAAAAGTGAACATTATAGGTCATTTACCTTTTAAATGAATGTTTTAAAGTACCCCATACCTCAATTAATACAATTTTATAAAAGCTGCATGTATAATAGTGTGTGGTTGTACTCACAGGCATGGTCTGACTCCCGTGCAGCCCGCTGATGGCAGATTGAGCCTCGGTGTGTGTTGAAAACTTGACAAAGGCGCAACCTGCAAAACACACACACACACACAAAAGAAGAGCAGAGAAATAATGAGGAAGACCGGTGGAGGTTATCAGCAGAGGAGTGTGTGTCTCTGGTGAATGCAACACTGGAGATGAGAGAGAAGATGTGCACATGCACACAAACAAAACACTCATTTCACTTTCTTAGAGCACCATATTATCCATATATGCACTATGCCCTCAATTAATACAATTTTATAAAAGCTGCATGTATAATAGTGTGTGGTTGTACTCACAGGCATGGTCTGACTCCCGTGCAGCCCGCTGATGGCAGATTGAGCCTCGGTGTGTGTTGAAAACTTGACAAAGGCGCAACCTGCAAAACACACACACACACACAAAAGAAGAGCAGAGAAATAATGAGGAAGACCGGTGGAGGTTATCAGCAGAGGAGTGTGTGTCTCTGGTGAATGCAACACTGGAGATGAGAGAGAAAATGTGCACATGCACACAAACAAAACACTCATTTCACTTTCTTAGAGCACCATATTATCCATATATGCACTATGTATGATTTATGTTATGACTTTTTCTAATCCCATAAAGCTTACTGTACTGTATTTGATATGCAAATTTCTAAGGCTCGACATGATCAAAACTTTGCTGAAAAACCTATTGTACACAATCTACTCCATGCCTTCTGCCGTCTGATTGATAGTTTAGACTTTTTAGCAAGTAAAAGGTCTTTTAGTGTAATAAACAAATGTCCACCTTCAGCTCGTGCAGTCAAATCTTTATAAAGTAAGCATAAGAAAAAGATGAACACTGGACTGAAGCAATTTAAATGTACTTGATTGTCAATACATTATTGTTTAAAAAAATCATCAGGCTTTTGACAAGCGTTTATTTGTTCATCTCTCAATCATCATTGTACTGCATTGCATTATATGTTTTGATCATAAAACTAAATATTTACATTTACATTACATACGTCTCTGTCAGGACCATGAGGTTTAGTCTTGAATGACTAGAAATAGATGTAATGAAATCTGCTTTGTTTACTGCAGACTGACAATTCCAGAGACCAATAGAAAAAGAAAGTAGTGTATTAGCAGACATAGGCAAAGTGTGCAGGTTGTTAGGATTGCGCTGCCTACAGTGTGTGATGCGTGGTTTGCGAGTGGTAGTAATAGCAGGGATATGGAAACACATAGTAAGAGTTGGTCATAAAAACTGAAACAGAAGTGAAGCAAGGTGTAGAAAAGAGGACGAATCAAAAGCGATACGTATGTCCCTTGCCGGTGTCCCTGCTCGGTGGAGTGCGAACTTTAGAGTCGATGGTCTTTACACTCTTCAGCCTTCACACGAGGGCTGCCGTGGTATTCTAACCTTTTTTATACTCGTTTGACAAAACGGAAATTGAATTCAGCTGAACACACTTTACTGTTTATCACAACTAGGCATGGGCCGGTATGAGATTTTGACGGTATGATAACCTTAAGCAAAAATATCACGGTTTCACGGTATTGTCGTTACAGCTCTAAAATGTGTTATTTTTAAATGATTGGGTAAAAAAATGTATTATTAAAAAAAAATTATAAAAAAATTTCCGCTGAACACAATATATTTTGTTTTTGAGCAACATACAGAATATTAGGAACAGTAGAATTAATTTTTTCTTTGATTTGTTTCCTAAAAAGAAGTTACTCTCTACACTGCACTCAACCAGAGGGATTCCTACACTTTCAGTCTTTGAGGAGACATGAAAAACAGAGCACACCACAGGAACGGTATAACGGAAAATATTCGCTGTTTTGAAACTGATTTAAAAAAAATTTAAATCGTGGTATACCTTGAAACCGGTAAGCGGTCCATGCCTAATCACAACAAAGGGCTAAGCAAGCACACGGCACTGACAAGGTATGCGATACAGTATGAGACCAAACACGACTTCAGCACATCTCAACACAGTAAACAAAACAAGCGTTTCCTAGCAAAGACAACTGCGCTAAACACTAATGAGACAAGAAATAAATACACTTACGATCTGCTTTTAACTTCCGCTAATTGACTGCTTTCTCTCAAAGAGTACTTCTTTACACTGTCTTTTGCTAGTGCTTGAACACACTTTACTGTTTATCACAACAAAGGGCTAAGCAAGCGCACGACACTGACAAGGTATGCGATACGAGACCAAACGCAACTTCAGCATGTCATATTTGATACATAGCTACATGTATCAAATATGATGCGCAACAAAAACACATGCAAACTTTTCTTTTTATATTTTGTCAAAAGCTTCAAAATCTCTTCCATTTGAAAAAACAAAATGAGACTATTATTTTACATGTCAGGCTTTACAGTGGTTAAAATCACAGCATGTCCGTGCAGTGAAAGGTCACGTGATCGAACGGCACAGCTGATCATCAAATCTTCATGATTTCGTGTTGAGTTCAAAACCTCTCACGTCGTTTCTCTCTTCACACTTTTCAAACACGATTGACCTCTCTGACATATCTCCCCTCTTGCTCTCCCTTAATGGACACAGCGATCACAGTCTGTGTAAATAATTCCTGGTTTGTCAGGTGATATCGGCGCCCACCAGCCTCCAGAATGAATTCTGCCATGTTAGCGCTGAGAAACCCCATCACAAAACGTCGGCTTGACATGTGCGTGTTCGAATAGACTGACGTGGTGAAATTGAATGTGTAAATGAAAGCACTTCTGCTTGTGGCAAGGTAGTTAGATCCTCCCTGTATTGATGTTAGAATATTGTTAGCCTATCAGTAGGCATAGGTGGGTGTATAAAGGGCTGATTTGTGTCAGTCGGATGTGTCACTCAGGTGCCCCGACTCCTTTTCACCCGCTGTCCGCTTAGAATAATTTTCTTCCTGACCCGACCGTTCCGCTAAATTTAGATCTCGTTTCCAGAATCTCACATTTAAATTTCCTCTACTGAAAGAGAGATAGGCTGACAAATAAATGTGTAGTCTGCACAAAATTGTATGTTACTTTATTCGTCTTGCCAAGAGTCTTGAATTTATTGACTTTGACTTGAATTTATCTGAATTATCTTAAGACACAAAATTCGTTTAATATTTTATGCAACACAGTAGGAAAAAAAAGTGTCAGAGAAAATAAAAATGTTGTACAAAAATTGTATTTCTTATTTTTATTCGTCTTGTCAGGATACAATGCTTTAACATTGACAACACAATAGGGAAAAAGTGTCAGAGAGAGAGAAAAAAGCCTATTAGCTATTTTTATTCGTCTGGTCAAAATACCAAATTTGTTTGATGACATTTTTCTGTTAACACAGTAGGAAAAGTGTCGCAGAGAAAAATAAATAAATACGACATCTTTCATATAAAATTATAGGCTAAGAAAAATATAAACAAAACCGAGTTGAATGTCCTTCAAGGACAGCGCATCCACACTTTGCTCCATCCTTATTCTGCTCTCTCACTCATCGACAACCTGCCTGTTCTGTCTGAGGGCCATATATTTACCACAGGTACAGCCTGCTCTGAGCACTATGCACATGCTGCGCACAGACCATGCAAATAAAACACGTGACTTTTAAAGCATGCGTGCAGCGCGTGCATAACAGTCCTGAGCGCAAGCTGTACCGGTGGCCAATAAGAATAAAGCGCAGATATGCAGTTTTAAATGGACGTCGGGAACGGGATATTGTTAGACCGCCCGCTCACAAACTCACCTTTACTGTTTCCATCAGGGCCTCGTAATACAGTGCACTCTTCAATCACTCCGTAGGGCTCAAACAGGCGGTACACGTCCTCTTCTGTCTGCTGCTTATTCAACATGCCCACAAACAGCTTCCTGTCCTCTGAAACATAAACACACAAAGAGAATATATGGTGCGTTCAAGTCATGTCGGATAGATCGTATTTACGAGTTGAATGCACATTAACGCCTCCACAAAGTCGTTATTATGAGTGGGAAACTCTACATTTTCTTTAAGCCCAGAGTTTCTGAGTTGGGGGCGTGTCAATGAGAAACATGGCGGAATCGATGGATGCAACGTCTGTAGTTGACGGTAACTTTTTGTTTAAATTGATAGTTTAGTTGTCCTATAAATTTAAATTGGTCATGTTTTTGTAACGCAGCTGGTTAATGAAATCCAAGTTAAAAAATGCTATCATTTTTGCACCTATAGGTGAAAAACACACCTGATGCGAATTCTTTGCTCTTCATTTTCTATAAGCGGAGTTAACAGACCCTGTTGTATTTTCTTGTAATTTATTTAAAAGAAGGTACACCGCCATCTTGTGCCGACTAAACTGACTTGAACGCACCTGACGTCATAATTTCGACGTCCCAGGAGGACTTCTACTAATATACTTCTACTGTATCTTCGCACACAAAAATGGCAAGAGGACACAAAAATAAAATTTGAAGTTTGCAGACTGAATCATAGTCCTAGATACTGTCAAATAATCCCAAAACAATTAATAATCAATGATCTTTGCTGGCTGCACTTAAAAACAAATAAACCACAAATGACTATTTTGAATTGATTCTTTAAATGGATCAATCAAAAAGACTCACCAACTGCCACTTAAAGGGTTAGTTCGCCCAAAAAGGAAAATTCAGTCATTAATTACTCACCCTCATGTCGTTCCAAACCTGTAAGACCTTCGTTCATCTTCGGAACACAAATTAAGATATTTTCGATGCCTTGCGAGAGCTCTCTGACCCTCCCATAGACAGCAAGTGCCCTTACACGATCAAGGCAGAAACGTAGCAAGGAGATCGTTAAAATAGTCCATGTGACATCATTGTTTCAACCGTAACTTTACGAAGCTACGAAAATACTTTTTGTGTCCACAGAAAACAAAAATAATGACTTTATTAAGCAATTCGTCTCCTCCGCGTCACCCTATAGCGCCATTTTGGAGAGTATCACATACGTAAACAACGTATGTACGTGGATATGTTGTTTACGTTCAGATCAAAGCGTAAACAACGTAAACAGCGTATCCGCGTACGGTGCTGCTGACACAGAACAGCATTCGTTGTTTACGTATGTGATACTCTCCAAAAAGGTGCCAGGGTGATGCGGAGGAGACGAATTGTTGAATAAAGTCGTTAT